ATGGGACATGGCATCAGGTTTCACATCAGACTATCAGATATCGCTGAAGGTACAACAATTCAGATGGTGAGTCTGAACAATGTTGGGTCTTGCAGAACCTAGCTGCTATTCGACCCTAAAGGGTTTCTGGACTAGGCTCAAGGCTCAGAGAAGAGGAAATATAATAGAAACTTGCTGATCTCTCAGACTCATACTGGTAACTGGTGAAAGGATAACTTGCTTATGTAAGCTACAAAAGTGCCAACATAAGGTAAGGTAAAAATAGTCTCTACCAGCCCAGCCAGAAATGAATCCCTACATCGCGCACACTTGTCCTACCTATGTCCAGTCTCATTCTGCTAGCCCCATTAGGTGCATAGTTACTTGTTTTCACATCCCTAACATTTCAGACCACGTTATTACATGTATTCTCATGGTCTGCAGTACATCATGTCTTATTACATAGGACATCAGATCCAAAATATTGCACTACTACTTTTGCCTATAGGGTTCCATATTTCTATGTATCTACATAAATATTGTACTCCCCATAGTATCATCATCATCCAAGTAGAGGAGAGTCGTTCTCCGACATTTAGGGGTCAAATCTGATATTTTGTAGTTCTTAGTTGACATCGCGAATATCATTGTTCCTTCACCGTCCATATCCATCATTGTTATTATTGTGCACACTGCTCACTTTTCCAACGCTCACTATCGCATTACTATTAGTTTCCGATAACCCAAACCAAAACCCAAAAACATCGGACCCAATGCTTTTGCATTGGACATCATAATTATACCTTCAGACATTGTTTCCCGTGCTTGGACTATTGGCCACACATCACTCACTGACCCCCAGAACTATTCCCAGACTGCAGACCCCTGGATCGAATGCACTTGTCTCACCAAGTATAGCAGACTAGGCAGTGCAAGACCACAACATAAAGATATCAGTGTGGAGCCATCTTTGTATAGCCCCACTCTGTGTTGTATTCCTACAACAGGAGACAGGAGACGGGAGACAGGAACATGGGACACAATGGGAGATGGGAAGCAGGGAAAATAAATACATACATTCAATGATACTGTTACATATGTTGTAATTTTACTTTTGTCAAACTCCTGCTCAAAGAATGTAGAACTGACTGATCTTATGTACTATGTACTTTTAGTTTTTTTGAAATGATGCTCATAAATGTATTTTCAAAATCCACTATCAAGGCATGATCTTATTCAAAATACATAATTTATTAGGATGCAGCCTGAGGCCAGGAAGCCAAAGGAGGGTGCAGCCCTCCTTGGCTTCCTGTGGTGAAGGAACAATGCTCATAAGGAGCCTTCTGGATTATTGGGATGAAGCTGAGGCCAGGAAGCTAAAAAAAAGAGCGCGAAGCGCTCTTTTTTGCTTCCTGTGCCGAAGGCAGAACAGGTGTGTGCTAGTGTATAATTACCCTACAACTTGAAGGGTGCAGCTCGGCCTTTTTCTACACGGCGATCGCCAGGTAGCCGAGCTACTGATAATTTGTGGCTGTACTGATTAAAACTCAGCTAGGCGTCGGGTTATTCACACGGTGGTGTAACTTGAGTGGTCGCAATTCTCCGGTTAAACTTCCGTCGACTTTCCGTCTACTATAATGATCCATCTCGATCGTAACCGCAACGAAATCGATTCAGAACAAAATTCAAATCTAATCTTACCAGAGGATCATTCAGCTACTTTCAATTGGGTCACAGACATCACTCATAACGACGAGCATCACAATTATTTCGCAAACTCTTTGTCTGACTTGAATAATAATCATCCCGAGGGTCAGACACTCCATCCTATCCCACTTCCAGCTGACGACAAGAGTTCGTCACTTTCACCTCCTCCAGAATACAATTCACCTCAAATTAAACACAAGTCTCCTCCGCAAACGCAAGAACAAGAACAAGAACAAGAAGACGATGGAGATGGTTCTTATTCGAGACAGTTAACACCACTCACAGACCTATCAGCAGTACCAGATGGTGACGAGAGTTTGGATTTTGAAAAGAAGGATAGCAGTCCAGCAGAAGTAGAACAAGAGCAGAATGGTGACCTGAACAGCGCACAAGACAACGCAGATAATCGTTGGTCAGAAAAACGTACAATAAATGGTACATCATCTCCAGTCCGCTCAATCCCCAGCTCTCCAACAAGATATCCAATCCCAATACCCGTCCCAGGTCCCTCTCACAGACTTGGTCCATCAGCAGCTCCTTCTCATTCAAGACGTCCATCAAGGGAAATCGTCTCAATCAGCCAACTCCCTTCACCAAACTTACCACCAGCAAAATTATCTGATTCTCCTACAGGAGAAACAAAAGTCTTTAGGATTCTAGAGATCAACTCAGAGTTGTTCAAGTCCGTTCACACCCACTCGCTTTTTCCACCCTCAATCTCACTTTCTTGCTTTTTAGAGTCTGTATGGAGTTTCAGACACGTGGCGTGCCACCGACTGACGCTCGCTTCTCTCAGTAAGCACTACTTCATCTTAAAAAACAACCCTCATCATTCAACCCTTCAGTTTTGCTAATCGCCTACAAGTCAACTTGACCTGGCTAGCAGCAGCTGCAGATCATCAACGATGTAACGTATGTATCCATTGTTTCCTCAATACAACAACCCTACACTTACTCTCTCAATAGGACCCCAGACTCGTATTGCCCGCAATGGATGCTCCTTCTCCTGTCGAATTCATATCAATGGATCGAATACATCACCTCTATGCCGATTTACCCGTTATATTCGCAAAGGAACTCGCACGACGCCAGCTTGCTTCTGGCGCCCAATACTCTCCTACCACTTCCGCCGCACTCCTAAATGGTCCTTTAAAGCGCAGCAGACCAGACGACATGGCAGACCTTATGAACAAAAGACGCGACATTGGTGAGACCAAACCCCACTCCATGCAACCGCACTCCATGCAACCACCCGCAATCCCATCCATATCCATATCTGGTGCTGGCCAGCGCACCAGTCCCACATCCTCATTCCCTCCCTCCATCCATCCAAACATAGCCGTCGCCAGCACGCCTGCCATGCCGCAGAGTCCCCGCACCTCCAGTCCCATGCCTCCACCATTGTCTACCCCCTCACTACCCTTCGGCGCCACTGAAGCATCAATAGCAGCCACGACACGTGCTCGCGCACGGGAAATGCAGATTCACCAAGCACGCGAACAACAACTTCGAGCAGCCCAGATGCAAAATCAAATGCAGTCCGCGCGCCAGATCTCCCCTCCTGATTCCTCCCCACGAATTCCCCAAAACATGGGGCCGAGCGCACCGCAACATCCGCATACATCATATGGCCACAACGTTTCACCAATGCAGATTCTCCAAAATACCAGCCATCCCCTGATGACGTATCTCATGTCCCAAATCCCTAACTTCACATCTCTACCGTTACCTCAACAGGTGCAGAAGCTCACGAGCTTTCAGGTGATGATTTACGTTGTGTTTGCGAACTGCGATATTGATGTTTCGTACAGAACATTCTGGCGCAGAAGCAGCAACAGAATCCGCCCAATCAGCAACAACGCCCCCCTATGCCTGGTCAAATGCCCGGTCTAGGTCAGAACCCCTCCATGTCGCCCATGCCCAACGCCCCCATGCAAAGCAGCGGTCCAAGCCCCGTATCTCCCCTAGGCCAGCAATCACCCGTCTCATCTCAATCCCAACAACAAATGAGCGCCCAGTCCCAGCAAGCCGGCATGTATCCATTCAGTAATCAAGGCCACAACACACCCAGCGTAGACCCCCGCATAGCAGCCTCCAATTTCACACAGCAAATGCCGGGCAACATGGGCGCCATGAACCTAAATCAACAACGACAGCTCATGCTCATGCAGCAAATGCGGAATTCAAGCGGGAACATGAACATGAACGCTCCGAACCTCATGAACCCACAGCAGGCGTTTGCGATGCAGCAGCAGCAGCAGCAGCGGGGAATGCCCCAGGGTGGTCCGTCTCAAGGGGGCTTACCCATGTCTGCCCCTGCGAATGATACCTTCCCCGCATTGCGCTCGAATTCGACGATTCCAGGAATTGCGAGGAGTGGGCGGTCACCTTCTGAGAGCGTACATTCGCCTATGACACCTCGGGCTCCATCGAGGCTTTCGTCGCAGCCTCCTATGCAGCCTGAAGATTTCCAGCGGGCAATGACGCAGCAGGCACAACCGGGCATGATGGGGACGCAACAGAATGCTGGCTCATTCCATCCGCAGGTGCAGTATCATCAATGGCAGAATGGCCAGCAGCAGCAGCAGCAGCAGCAGCAGCAGCAGCAGCAACAGCAGCAACAGCAGCAGCAGCAGCAGCAGCAACAGCAACAGCAGCAGCAGCAACAACAACAACAACAACAACTGTCGCTCGGAGGGCAAATGAACGGGTTTGGGATGAACCTCCATGGAGGAGCAGGAGCAACGAACAGCTCCTACGGCGGCACCATCTCACCATCCGGAGGGCCTAACTGGCAACAGCAAAGCATGAACGGATATTACCCCCAAAGCAACCAACGACCTCCAAATATCACCATGCAACAAACCATTAGTCCCATAGGAGACACGAGCACAGCAGGAGAATACGATATATTTAATTGGAATGGTCCATGAAGGTGTTCTGTTCTGGTTCCGGGTCCTAGGAGTTGGGACGCTGATTATCACTTCGATATTATCTTATTATTTGTTTTTCGCGGCTCCCTCAGAGGCTGTTTTCGAGCGTTTTACTTTTTTTACTTTTAACCCTCACACGTCACTTTCGATGCTACTGTACGTTCTGATTTGTTTCGGTTTCATAGTTTTTCTTTCTTTCTTTTCTTTTTTTTTACTTCATCCCTGCTCTGTTCTGGAGTCGTTTGTATTTTGTAGAAGCCTTTTTTCTATGAATTTTGATCGGATGAAGGTCCGGGGCAGGACTGTTATATTTTTGTTGGACGGTGCTATTACAGTATTAATATATAGGCTATCCGAGTCGAGTGCCTGGTTCCAAGTGTAATAAGTCTCCGCTTGGATATCACATCTCCACTCCACCGCAAGCGATGGTATTCACCAGACTCTCCTCACAAGAGAAAGATGCCTTCTTTGGGCTTCTAGACGAGTCCGCACCGCTGGCATCTCTCCCTCATCCCTCATTTACTGACCACGATTCGTTGCTCGCAGGTACTTCCAGTCCCGCCCCGAGATCCTCGCCCACGTTAACACAAGCACCGGCAACGCCCAAGACCCATCCGCAGCCGCTGCATCAGCCGTTCACCGCGCTCTCGCCAGCAACCCAGAAGTCACCTCCAAGATCGTCTCCGCCGGGGTGACGCACGGACTTGCGAGGTCCAATAACCCATATGCATCCACGGTACGTCTCTTCGCTGCCATGATATCAAGCAATGAGTCGTAGTGTTAACTACATCAATCCCCGATCCGTCGAGCAGATAGCCAGTAATCCACAAGTGAGCAATTCCGTAGGAAGAGTAGCAGCAGCTTCGCTCGCGTTCAGCAGCTCAAGTAATGCCTTCTCGTCTTCGAACGCTTCAAGAACTCTAGCTCCTTCCCTCCCTTCCCGCAGCTCCAGCGCACACAGCGCATCCTCATCAGGGTCTGAGATCGATAAACTGATCACGAAAAAGGTCTGTACCTCCCATTTCTTATTCTTGATGCACCCTCTCAAGTTCACTAAATGCTAATACCCATTTCCATCTCGCAGTCGAGCGTCTTGGGCGCATTCAAGAAAGCACCCACAGCGAACGTAGTTATACCCCCTGCATTCCAACCGCCCAAGATGTCATATGGCCCGCCTCCTACTCGGCGCACGACGTCAGAAACGAGCGCTCCTGAGCCTTCCGCTGCTAGGTCCCCACCACCCGTCCTCCCACGACGTGCAGTCGAACCTGAACCTGAGGAACCACAAGGGGAGTGGGCAGAGGTCTTGTATGACTACAGTAGCGAGGTCTGATGCGTTCAGTTGCAATCAATGCGTCCAGTCGAACTGAGCCATCTTCATTTTTTCACACTTTAGGATCCTGGCGATCTGGAAGTCCAAACTGGCTCTCGTGTATTTGTCACTGCGAAATCTTCTGATGACTGGTGGGTTGTCTTTGTCCTTGGATCTTGAATGTTGCGCACGTCACTGACTTTTTATCCAGGTGGACGGGTCAGATAGAGGGCCAAGGAAAGGAAGGATTATTCCCTGCCTCATACGTGAAACTGTTGTGATATCCATTTGACGTCGATGCATACCACTATCGTTCCAAATGTAATGCGGCAAGTAGACCTACCTTGACAGGTCTATCGGTCCTGAAGAATTTGTGGGACAGCACAAGACAGCATGCCATCACTAGTCGAGCAGGCATCCCACAGCGATCAGGTAGCTATTTCTTATCCAGTCATCACAGATGGGCTTGAAATCATAGTATATATTTATGTATGCATCCATTGAAGTACAAGTAATCGACGAGCGGCATGGTTTTCTGACGGATACAGAACGAGAGTAGGAATAGAACTACAGTGGTGTCCGACGTCCATGTCACCGAGATGTCCGGGGAATGAGATGAAGGTGAAAAACGAGTCTGAGGGGTGGGTAACGTGATATCCAGAGTACGATAGGTGATAGTGATGTGCCATGAAACAATGTGAAGATCGATGCAGAAATGAGGAGGTTGTTAAATGATGTAAGAAAACGCGTCCGTCACCAGCCGGTCGAGACTCAAACGTCAAGTAGATTCTGATTGGCCGTCGCTCGGAAGATCGCAGACTTCGAGTGTACCAGTCTATGGAACGCGCTAGCCCCGTGCCCAGGGGGATGGCGTTCTGCAGGCTCGACAACGCTTACCACAGGAGGACCCACAGACCCCTTACCAGAGAGGTCATAAGTCGGCTTCTCTTTCTCCTGACTCTTGATCGCCGCGCTCCATATGCGGCTAAGGAACCCGTTGGAAGACATGCTGACGCTTGCTTTCATACTGGAAGCAGGAATACCGGATCCGCCGGCGGAATCAGCGTCGGATTGATTCCGATTGACGTTCGACATGCCGTATACGTAGGAGCTCGCTCGCTTTCCGGGAGCGGCAGCACGGTTGACGACTCTGATCGTGCACATGTCCAAAGGCGCGGGTGGGTTTGGAGGAGATGGAGAGTCGCCTGCTCGGACGGTCGCTATAGATCGGACTGAACCTGCTTCGGATACCTTTCGCCCTTCTCTGTGCGCCTGGGGCGGGATACCACCCAAGACAAACGGTTTCCTCACGACGCTTGGTTCCTCGTCCGCCTCTTGTTCATCGTCGGAGACGCTGCTAGCTGAATCAGACGAAGACCCAGAGTCCTCTATTAATGATTCCATCTCAGAGTCAGTTGCGCTGGAGCTGTCGCAGCTATGTACACTCGATATCGGTGATGCAATGCAAGAAGAACGGCCCTGGGTACCTCCAAGACGGCTGCTCGAGAGACGCCTTGCAATCCCGCGAACTGTGGACACAATAGAGGACCCAATGGGCGGTGGAGGTGGAACTTCGCTAGGTGGAGTTGGTAGCTGCGCCTGGGCGCGGGCTTTGCCTGCTTTTGAAACTCGCTCGACCGCCGCTGCACGGGTTTCCTGCTGAGGAGTTAGGGGGCAGACGATGCGCGTGGGCATAAAAGGTGCAAAGTGGATGCACACTTCCTGCTCGTCGAAGCGGAGGTCGTATCCCAGTATATAGAGAAGCTGTTCCTCCATGAGGTTCACCTCTGGGAGGTCAAAGTGTTCAGCGTATGCCGCCCAATGTGTGTTTTTGGGAGATGAGTCGTTGAGGTACTTGGCCGCTACGATCAGCGTTGCCAGGAAGACGCGGTGCCGAGTGCATGGCCGGCCTAAAACTAATATGGTAAGAAATTTGATGGAAATATTACATACTTCGTACCCTTGGTCATGGCAGGCACCTTGACACGCACGCGGTGCAAGTAAATGAGGGTGGTGAGCAGCGTAGGCACCTGAACGTTCGACCTGTTCACCAAGCGCGTGATGAAGTGTACAAGACTTGGCAGTTTCAGCGCCACTTGGGCGGGAGGAGCGACGTCCTGTGTCTCAGAGAAGGGGGCCTTGATTGGCGTCGTAGGGGGTGTTGGGAGGGTACTGGGAGCAGGGAGTTGCTCGTTGATCATGATGGCTCGCGACGCCTGATGGGCAATGTAGGAGATCATCTCCATTGAGACAGACCTACGCATAAGTTCTACAAGGTATGGATTATGAAGAGACCTTGGGAGGAGGGACGCTGGGTGACGGCGGTCTAAGGACATTTCTGAAGGGAGTGGACGTGATAGAGATTGTTGTGTTGTGCCCGGCGGGGGGCAAATGAAGCAAAGAAAAGAAAAGACAAGGAGTAAGATTCCCGCGGGGCGAGCTTATGAAGCTGGCGTGAATACCTGCCACAAACAACAAACAGCGCGACACGCGCCGAGATCACGAGACTAAAATCAATGTGGTAAATATGTTATACCGCCGGAGCCAGCGACTGAGGACGTTAACAAGTTAGGCGAGCAGTGAGTGGAACAGAGCACAGAGCAAAGGAAACCCATAATCAAGACCCTGACCTTTATAAACTTGATGGTAATTATGAACGAGACCGCCAGACTGAGCAGCTGTAACAATATTGAGCAGTCTTGGTAATTTTGAAATTTTATTATTATGGGTTATCAACCTTGTTCGTTTCAACGTGAGTCAAGACATCCTTTGACAACTGAACGTTGACGTTCGGCTGTACTGAGAGGCTGCGCCCGAGCGGATGAGTTGCGGACCAAAAGATGTCAGCAGACCGCGTGCGCTGCTACCGCGTTTCTTGCTTTCCTCATGTTGTCATTGTCAGACTGGATCACCACTCTTTCATTGGTGTTTGGAGGCTGCTGCAGGTGAGTGAGCTTGAACTAGATTTCATTCTGACGCTAATTCGGCAACGTGGTTCAGTAATGCCATCACCTTAGAACACATCACAGCTCGTTACCCAAACGCAGGCGTCCTGATCACCTTCTTCCAGTTCCTCATCGTTTCATTATATGGACTACCCAAGCAATTTACATTCAACGACCCCCAAGAATCTAAACACGCAGCAAATGGACCCAATGGTACTGTGTCTGCTCCAACAACACCGCGCAGGAGATGGATTCCTCGGCTGAAGAACCGGAAGGTACCTTTGCTACCTTATTTCATTCAGGTCGCATTGTTCTTCGTACTGTCAACTCTGAACAATGCTGCTTTTGCATACCACATTCCTATGACTGTGCACATCGTGTTTCGCAGCGGTGGTATGATCATAAATATGATTCTAGGATGGATGTTCACAAAGAAGCGGTTGGTGTTTCGCTACAGGATTTCCAACATTTACTTATTCCAAAGAAATGCCAGATATACCGTGCGACAAGTTGTTTCTGTCGTCGTCGTCACAGCTGGCATCATAACGACCACACTCTCTGCCTCAAAACCCAAATCTCATACTGCCGAAGTACCAGGCACATCTAATACATCACTCTACGCAATGGGCATCTCCATCCTTGGCCTTGCCCTCGTCCTCTCAGGTTTCCTGGGACTCATCCAGGACTGGGTCTATGCACGATACATCGCACCCGCTGAAGCGGAAGCTGCTTCCGACCCCACAGGACAATCTTTATGGCAGGAACATATGTTCTACCTCCACTCCCTCGCTCTCCCCTTGTTCTACTTGTCCAAAGATAACATATCCATGGAGCTCACACGTATGAGTTCTAGTCCACCTGTTTTCCTCTCCCTGCCGCAGTCTGGACCCCTTGCACCATACGAGGCAGGCCCTATCGTGCCCTCAATATTTGTCTACCTCCTCCTGAACACATGCACACAGCTCGTGTGTGTCGTAGGAGTCAACAGGCTCACTGGCCGTGTATCTTCACTGACTGTGACTCTCATCCTTACTGTACGCAAGGCCATCTCGTTATTGCTAAGCGTCGCAGTCTATGGAGGACAGGGAAACACGGAGATGTGGGTCGGCGCAGGATTGGTATTCATTGGGACTATCGGGTATTCGACTGGAATAAAGTCGAACGACCACAAGGAGAAGAAAGATTAGCGAGGGCATCGCATACTAGATGAGCTTTAACTTCTTATAGGCTGTACAAATACCAGTTAAACGCATACCATAAGTATGTGCATTTATTCAATGTTCTTCGTTATGATACAACAATTCTGCATGATACCTTCCATTGTCATCTGAATCGGCGGGCGAGGGTGTACCTGCGGCTGGCCCTAAACAAATGCAGTAAAGTGTCGCTTTGGTAGGGTAACTAGTGCACAAAGTATGGAAGCCAGCGCCACGCTGAGCTCTATCATAACGTCAGCATTTCTGGTTTAGCTAGCTGCAGGTGGCAGCACCAGCACACAACAAGAGATCCATCGGACTCATTGATGTCGATGGAAGCAACGAGGACTGACGACCTGAAGCCGATGCTAATCAGTATGCTAGTATTGACTCAAGGGTGCGACTGATGTCTGACGGCCCACCAAGAGAAAAACTTTCGAATGCGAAAGTGGGTGAAAAGCTGCCTAATGATAACGAGATTGAAAAGCGCTACTATGTAGTATACGCGATATGTATTTAGACCAACTTAATGCATAATCAACTTTAACGCATGTGAATAGCATGCGATTGATAACTGAAGGGCTTGCAATTATGAGGATCATCCACCCCCATTCCCTACAAGCACTGCGAGAGCACTACCAGTAATCAACGTGTCCTTGACTAATTTCATAGTCTTGCTTAGACCATGACTATGATGACTATGATGATGATCAGTGTGATTATGTTGGCCAGTGTGATTCTGTTGACCAGTGTGATTCTGTTGCAAGTTTCCCTGAGCGTGATGTTGTGCGGGATGGACGGAGGATCCCGCCTGGGATTGGGGCGAATGAGCATGGTGAGGGGCGGTGCCGTGACCATGGTTCACAACATGATGGGCTGGTATTGGCGGTCCCTGCGAGTGTGTAGTATGAGCGGCGGTCCCAAAGGAGGGGTGAGCACCATAATTCATATGCGGGTTCTGGGTGTGGGATGTATGAGAGCTTTGTGGGGATGTGTGGTGGAGTCCTTGAGATTGATTGGGGTCTACTCCATTTCCTATGGTCTGATTAGACACGACCCATATTTGGCCGGAGGGGTCGCCAGTGAACAGCTGGTCTCCTTGATAGTATGGCGCGTCAAAGGAGACCCCGTCAAACTTCTGGTCTACTTGAATGCTCGCCGTAGGATCAAAAAAGTTCTCGGTAAATGTCTGGTCTCCTTGGCAGTATGATGCGTCAAATGAGACCTCGTCAAACGCCTGGTCTACTTGAATGTTCGCCGTAGGATCAACGAAGTCCTCGGTAAATGTCTGGTCTCCTTGGTAGTACGGTGCGTCAAATGAGACCTCGTTAAACGTCTGGTCTACTTGAATGTTCGCCGTAGGATCAAAGAAGTCCTCGGTGACTATCAGGTCTCCTTGGTAGTATGGTGCGTCAAATGAGACCCCGTCAAACGTCTGGTCTACTTGAATGTTCACCGTAGGATCAAAGAAGTCCTCAGTGACTGTCTGGTCTCCGTAGTACTGCGTGTCAAAAGAGACTCCGGAAAATGACTGGTCTACTTGGATGTTTGCCGTAGGGTCAAAGAAGTCCTCGGTAAACGTCTGGTCTCCTTGATAGTCTGTTACGTTGGAGGCATCCCCAGGAGACGTCTGGTCTCCTTGAATGCCCGTAGAGTCAGATCCGCTCCCTTGATTATTATTAGTGTCCATATCGGGGTCGGACTGATCATCTGCAAAGTTTCCAATCGTCATGTCATCCATAATTTCAGTGATATCATCAACAATATCATCATCGCCGGCGGCCTCAGCGAGCACAACCCCACCGAGCAGACCAAGAACACCTGCTGCAATATTTTTACCAAGTCCCCTGCTAGAATGAACTGGTTTAGCAGGTGTAGTTAGTGCCCTTGCATGCTGTGGATGGGGCGGCTGTGAGGCCTGTGATTGGAAACTTTCGGGCGTTAACTGGTAAGGAACCTGTCCTTGCCGTGTTGGTGATACATGCGGAGATAGCTGGGGTATGAACTCTGCGTAACGGCCATCGGTTGACAGTATGGATGATGCAGATGGGCCCTGAGAATGCTGGGAGAAGGGACGGGAAGGAAGAGGTGAAGTCTGCGAGGTCATTCCAGCAGAAGCAGTCATAGAGGGTGAGATACCTGCTGATGAAGGAGGGGATGTGGACCCTGCCCTGACTCTGGGAGGAAGGGGTAGGTGCGTTGGTTGGTGGCTGCTACCGGGTTGAACAGGCAAGGAACTTGCTGGTCTAAATTTGACCGGATGTCTTGGGTTTAATGTATGAGGACGTGCAGCCATCGCGGGTGAAGGTGTGAAAGCTGTGACGGGCGCTGATGTAGAAGCTACAGTACCCGCCGATGAAGGAGGGAATGTGGGCCCTCTCCTGACTCCGGGAGGAAGAGGTAGGTGTGTTGATTGGTAGCTGCTACCGGGTTGAAGAGGCAAGGAGCTTGCTGGTCTAAAGTTGACCGGATGCCTTGGGTTTAATGTATGAGGACGTGCAGCCATCGCGGGTGAAGGTATGAAAGCTGTGACGGGCGCTGGTGTAGAAGCTACAGTACCCGCTGATGAAAGAGGGAATGTGGGCCCTCTCCTGACGCCGGGAGGAAGAGGTAGGTGTGTTGATTGGTGGCTGCTACTGGGTCGAAGAGGCGATGAAGTTGCTGGTCTAAGGTTGCCCGGATTCATATGTGATGACCTTGGGTTTAATGTCTGAGGACGCGCAGGCATCGTGGGTGAAGGTGTGAAAGTTACGACGGGCGCTAGGTGTAGACGCTACAGGACGCCTCGGTGGAAGAGCAGGATGCCTCGGTGGAGGAGCAGGCAATGGTGCTGCTGTAATGGGTGCTGGTGTAGAAGGTACAGGATGCCTCGGTGAAAGAGCACGCAATGGCGCTGCTGTGATTGATGCTGGTGTAGAAGTTCCAGGACGTCTCAGTGGAAGAGTAGATAATGGTGCTGTTGCGATGGGTGCTGGTGAAGCAGCTACAGGACGCCTCGGTGGAAGAGCACGCAATGGTGCTGTAGAAAAGGCCTCCGCAGAGGCGTCATTGAGTGGCGGGACCGCTGGAGAAATAGGAGGATGTGGCATGTCCTGAGGAATGGTGTTATACCTAGGTTGCCTGTTTGAAACTACCGGTCGGAATTGTGTGCGAGATGACGATGAAGCCTCCATGGACGGGTGCGATAATGACTTGTCAGGCATCAAGTCCTTTGCAAAGTAACCATACAATTTCTCCTTAACATCCTCCGGTACTCTCCCCGTAGGGTATGACATTACGTCTGGCATAGCCAGCGAGGTTCGCGGAGATCCCAAAAGTGGTGCTGGAGAAAGTGTGTGAGGAGCCCCAATGAATGAGGGAGTATCTGCACTTGATGAAGGTACGGCCCCAGGTACAGCATCGGACTCGTGTGGTGAGGACACAGCAGGACGTGGTAGCACTATGGGCGATTCAGCATAATACATGCTCGCCTTGGTCATGCCGCACATGGATTGCGACTCGTCGAAGTCTGGGGGAGGAGGTTCCTCGTCAACGAGGGAATATAACGGTACTTCTTCGGAACCACCGACATCAAGGCTCTCAATCTGTGTAGGTGCAGGCAAGGGATCACTAGGCGGAGTCATGGACTCCAGGTTAGAAGTAGTCACAGCCACGTAAGCTGGACCTGTTGGATAATCCTCCGAATATGGGCTAAACACCCTTGGGAATGTCTCCGGTGGAACAGGTGAAGCTATAACACTGTTCACGCTCTCAGGCCGCAGAGGGAGGTCTGATGATGTCGACCTGCCTGGTATCGCATGCATTGTACTGGATGGGCTCCTACTGTGCAACCCCGCCTGACTTGGCCATCGGGGATCAGCAGCTGGCGATGGTAGAGACCCGTCGGAGATATCCACTGTAACTGGGCTACGCCTAGTGGATGATTGCAGGCCGTGGGCTGCCTGAATGGGAACTGAGGAATGGGCCAAACTTGGAGCGGAACCTGTGGCTGACTGGGGGCGTGGAGCTCCTGAGGAATTGGTGCCTGGGTCAGGTACCGGTGACTCAGGATCAAGTTTTGAAACAGTACCATAGTAGAAATCAAGGGCTGAAGCAGTTTGAGGATTGTCGTTATGACCCGTATTCGGCAGAAGAGATGTTCTGGCATCATAAGGAGCCCGTGGGCCAGCCGGAACTTGGTTACCTGGACATTCTCCAAGTCCAGAAAAGAGGGGCTGCTGCTGGGTCTGGACTTTGAACTGCTCGCTAAACGAGCTGGCATACAGGCGCTGGGCGTATGATTCACCGCGTGGAACCGCGGGAGCATTGGTTGGAAACTGCAAATTTGGTTCCGGATGTTGACCAGATGGTGGTCTCTCTAATTGCTGGCGCTCAATGGTGTATTGCAGAACAGGTTGTCCAGGGACAACAGAGCGCGTAGGAGTGAGCGGTGCTGTATAACAGCTGGAATTAGACGTAGCCCTGACAGTAGTTAGAAACTGGGGATTTGCCCAAGTCTGTTGGTGAGGCGACCTTGATTATGGATTAAGATTTGAGAATGCCCCGCTGAGAAATCCTTCCAATTCACTCACCAATTTATGCCAGCCTGTGCCAAGAGGCCGTCTGCAGGTTCGTCAGCAGTATAAAAACTCATTAGTGGGGAGCGATTGGAACTGCAAGATCAGGCCGACAAGAAACTGATCGCACTATATAACCAACACAATGCAAGGTACCCACGAATATAACGGGACCTTTTCTGAGCTTGTTTGTCTGTTGGGCCTTCAACTTTTGTGCTTCAGGGCGCGCATGTAAAAGTTGTGGCTGACTCGGATGCTGATAGCTAGCGAATGGATCAATGTTAACATGCGCAAATTCATGAAGCCAAGCACCGCATGGGTCGCTCGAGTCATTCTTGCACTGGTGCCTAAGATCCTCCTGCACTAACAGTTTCCTCCCTCGGATGTCGATAGCAGCCGACATGGATCATTGGATTCCAAACGACTGTAAATTGACAGTAGTAAGCAGCAATTTGCGCCACCCGAAGCCTCAGGAAACTATGGTACGATCAACCCCTCCTGCTAGCTCACATACTTAGCTCAAGCAGAGTTCTCGATGCGTGACGCGGCGGTTGGTGGAACTTGAAGTGACATCTATTGTGGAGTGTAAACTTGTGTCGAGAAATATACAGTGTACGGAAGGAGAGGATGTATGAGTTGGAGAAGGAAGATTCAAGAATACGACCTAAGGTAGGGGGCAGGTTGGCCGCCTTGAGTGACGAGTGTAGGAGGATGTCGACGGAAGAAGCGTGGAGGGGTTGTTTCATATCAACGCCATCTAAGCTAGTAGGGAAAATCAAAGCATTAAAAAAACACTCTATCAGTCATTCGTACGCGCGTACCATACGCATACCTATATGTTTTTTGTTGCAACCGCGTCTCATGTAAGCAGTTTGCGATTGGCCTCGGCTTAGCGAGAGGTCACGTGAACTTTTAATCGAAAACAAGATTGAGTTCCTGTCCTTGGCGCGCTCAGCTGCCAGTGGCAGGGCTCAGTGAGAGATCCACGACCCCTGAAGCGGAGCAACCAGCATATGAGGGCTATGTTGCCTGATCTCCAGGATGTTCTTGGAACAAGGATCATTGCACGCGCCCCACTCAGGTCCATAGCTGTACCTCGTCTCCCTGCGCTGTCCCGTGTGACGAGATGTCGAAATCCATATTCGTCTCTCAAGGTGCTGCACTGTTCAACTCTATCGCCATCGTGCCTTACTACGCAAGTGTTTGCGTAACCTGCTAGTTCACCGGGAGCCAGAGACCGGCGCGACCTGACGCTGCTACGATGAAGACATTTTCTTACGATAATAATGCTGTATACACGTGTGCACATATGAACAACACCAAGGAACGAAAGTCATTATGATTCTTGACCAGTCGCCATACCCCAAGTCTTTTTCATCAGCTTAGCAGCAGGACTCGTCGAGCCTTCGATCTTGGCAAACCCAACTGTACCCAACGTCTCTTGGTAGTTTCGCAAGTAGGGAGAGTACTGTGCCAAATAAAATTATCAGCCTATGAACACCACGCTTTCGGGAATACTTGCCGTTCTGCAAAAGTGTCGGTACCAACCCCACGTTTCCCACGTGTTCCATTCGTCTGCGCTCCATGTAGCTCGTACTTCCCAAGCTTGCTCTGTAATCACTGTCTCAGCATAAGGATTTTGGCGCCCTGCAGATGGGGATGGCGCCAAGCACGATACAAAGCCTTCGATCGTTCGTGCCAAAGCCCCCTTCTGCTCGCGGGTGAGGCTTGCGAATGCCTTGAGTGCCACCGTCAACTGAGGGTTCTCTGAAGCAGAGTCATCTGAGACGATCTGGTCAGCCAGAATCAAATATCATAGCTTGCTGAGGAGTACCTTGCTTGAAAGGCTTCACATCCGCATCCATCTCGATGGATCCAACGTCTGCACCAACACTCGCCTTCACCCGCGCAACGCTATCGTCGTGTTCCTTTCTTAGCGCGGCGACCTTCCTCCTGGCGACCATGACTCTTCCATTCGCCTTGTCTAACGCGCCTTTCAACAAGTCCCATTCAAATGCGCTCAGGCTCATCGGTCGCATCCCACTAATATGCGCATCCCCTCCAACATTCTCAAACGTCCAGCCAACCACATCCGTGGGGTCGACGATCTGGTACTGCATGAGCTTGTCAAACACAATATTCACCATCTGTCGATTCAGGCGCCAAAACGACGCGACAGCACTGAGAATATCCTGTTTGGACTCTGCGTCAGTGCCGGCGAGTCCTCGCAGGAGCGGCAGGTAACGCTCAATTGCGTTGAGGAGATGCGAGAAGGATCGTGAGCCGATAGAGAGCAGGCAATGAATCGAGATCGACCGAATAGTGTTGTCTACGTGTAAGTGAGTCCCTGAGGACTCCAGAGTGGTCTTCAGTGACTCAATGTGCGACAGCACTTCGTTGGCTTTAGAGCGTCCACGCAGAAGGGAAAGGATTGATTGGGCAGTATCGTAGTGTGGATGAGCTATAGACAAACGTTAATGACAAGGATGCACGAAGTAAAGGAGCATACTTGGGTCTTCATATTCGAAAGCCGGTCCTGGAGTCTGATCAGAAATGACGGTGGTGTCGTTCTGCATAGGCTCCGGCAAAGTCTTCAATACTCGGTCATGGTACGACAACCGTATCTCGAACTCCAGTGCTCGGCGCATGAAGGTGCGCTTAGGGTGCTGCTCTGAGAGCTCCAAGTCGGGTAACCTGCGAGAACGTTTCAGTATTCGACTCATGCAGGATGATTTGCGAAGCGTTGACCATTCTTTCCATACCCATTGGAAACCGAAGTTGCTCATGTGCACCGCGAACCACTCTGCAAAGCGTCGAGCGTTCTCCACATCAAAGCCGTCCCCAAGAGCAGTGTACAACCTGCGTATTGATTTTCCGACGGCAGGGCCGACAGTTGACGGCGAGAGCTTGCACAGCTCGGTAATCAGGGCAATGTGGTAGACTGTTTTATGCGTCGATTCTGGGAGGAGATAAAGAGAGCCCAAGATGGCCTAATGAAGTGAGTCAGACAATACGGAAACAAAGACAAACTGGGCTGTACCTCTATGACAGTGCTCTCCAACTGCCAATTCTTCCCAGACTCAAATTCAGGCTCAGGAGCCCCAGGTTTTGGCTTGAATGTACCAGGGACACACCATTTTGGATACTCGAGAAGGAGACGGGCACATTCTTTGCGATTGATCTCAAATATGTCAATCGTATCGAGGATTTGAGACCGCACTAGGAATCCAGCGGGCGTGGCAGAGTCTGGGGTCGTCTAAGTTCATGCGTGTTAAGACGTTATAAGTCCTGGGAAAAGGAACACCTACATCGTTGTCGAACAAGTGAAAGAAATACTGTGGCCAGTCTTCTTTCTTGACCTGGGCGTCTTCGCCAGCATCTGTAGCCAACCCGTCAAGTTCAATGACCTCAGGCGGCACCAGTATTGCGGGCAACTCGAAAGGAGCAGACACTGTGGGATCTAAATCCGGGAAATCGAGGTAGGGCTGCGGGAAGCTCTCAGACGCTTCTACAAATTCAAAGGAGTCAAGAGCTTTCAGCACGAAGAGTCCCGTATCAATGACCTTCATACCAGATTAGTTACATTCCAATGTACAATGAAAAGCGAACCTCATCAGCGTTCTCCAAAGACCTGGATTCCGTAAACAAACTCATTGCAGGCTGGACAAGCAGCTTGGGTGCGTAGATAGAATCATTGTAATTTTGGACGGTCTTGATTATCTCAGTAGTGTTGGAAGATGAGCTCTTTGCCATTACTGCACCGCTCTGCGAAAAGAGTTACTGGAGTGCTTGTCATATTCCAAAGAAAATGGCGCACAATTATTAAGCCCTCAATAGCACACAGAGCTGCGTTTCGGCCGCGTCCATAGGAAACACCAAACTCGTCGAGGACAGCAGCGAATGACTGGAGGAGTGCAGACATGGATTCGATGGAGATGACTTGAGCCACTGTCAAGTGCGCAAAAAAGTGAATCTATGCATCACAAATGAGAGGTGTTACACTCTGAGGTCTGGAAACAATGCTTACACATAGTCGAACATCTCTCCATGCAAGCTTGTCTAGGTATCCCTGGAAGCCCTTCCAAAAATCTTCCAGGACCTGCTTGCCAAGAGACGAACTTGTGGAAGATTCGGCATTTTCACCTTCAGTTGGATCGTGTAAGAGGCGGAGAAGAGCTGCGTAGTAGGGGATTTTGTACGGTTGTTCAGTCACACTGAGTCCTCGTCAGCGAAATTCGAAAAGGAAGGGGTAATGCATTCACGCTATCCGAATACCCTCAGATATGACTGGGACCGAAAGTGGTACTTGTTCGCGGATTTGTTTCGCTAGCCGCGGGAGTTCTTGAATGGGGTCCTGAAACAGCCAGCCATGAGTGTCGGTGACAACAACCTTTGGTGTGAGACGGGACTTACCACTTCTCCCAGTTTTATGATTGTATTCTTGAGGATCTGCTCAGGTGATTCGAAGGAATCCCGGGTTCGCCTGTCGTGCGCATCATAATCGTCTGGTCCACATATTGGTTCAAGTTGTTTGTTGATTCACGACATGCCTCACCTTTGTAGCGTCGACGATTTCCGCCCCCACGATGAGGTCTGTCGTAGTGTGATCTATCGTAGCTCATGTTTCAGCCAAAAATTAGCAACTGTGTTCTGCGATTCTTTGGACGTCGCCGTCTGGTAAGTTAATAGACGCTGACCTTTGAATTTTATTTCTTCCAAATTTCCCCAAATTTGTCACGTGAATCGGAAGTTGCCTTTCTTGGTTATAACTTAAAACCTTCAAGTGTACGACCGGGAACATCAAAGTGACGCTGAGCACTGACAACGTTGTCCGCAAAACCCAGCCAATTTTTTACGAAAAGGCTGTGGAATAGTCTGCAATTACTCAGTCAATCGATACCACTGCCTTTAGGCAAACTGGTGAGTGTCGAAGCATCATGTGCATACTAAGATGTCTGACTTAAATATGCTGGTAGGCATGAGAGACACATGCAATGGATTTGGTCACAAGCCGCCTATAGCATTCGATCTCATACAAGACATGCGTCCCTCCCTATAAGAGGATTGTCCTCTTGCA